TGAATTTCCATTCTACGAGGCGTTTCCATGATGGTTTACGCTTCACCCCCAGCATTTCCAAGGAACTATATGAGGCGACCATAGGCGAAGAGAGAACTAGTCGACTTAAGAGATGCAGACGCAGAGAGAGTCGAGGCGTGCTGCAACACTGCCACATTGAGTGGATTGGGTCCTGGCGCGAATACTAAATATGTAATCGTTGCAACTCCAAATTCGTCACACTTGGTGGTACATTCGTTTTCAGCGGGTCAATGCCTCCCGATGACAAAATTCTAGCCAACATCTGCCCAAGGTAAGAGCTCGTCTTTGGGCCAGTTTTTTTTTTTTTTCAAATACCCTTGTCAAGGGCACAGGGCCCGAAACGTTATTGTATGAGATTGCAAGTTTCGTTTCAACAAAACACGAGATAATACTAGTTGTCATGCTAATATCACAACTTACTTCTTGGTCCCAAGAGCCTGCTGCAGACTGCTTCGGTGGCACTGGTGCTGTAGGCCTTTGTAGTGACTGACTGACCTTAAGTAACAGAAATTTATGAGTAGTTGCATTAAAAAATACTAACAAATAAACCAATGTACAGATAGATTAGTCGAGAACAAAACTCACAACTCTGACTCTCTCAGGACTCTTAGGAAAGTTTGCTGGCAACATTGGTGACCTCGCAACTTCTTCAACTACCTGTACTGCCATTTGAAGTGGTGCCGTCTTTTGGAGGGGTGCTGCGACCGTCTTTATCGACTGCGGTGCCGCCACTGCCTTTACCGTGCGCGGTGCCCTCCGTGAAGATGTGGCTCGACTCTAAAAAAAACCATTTTTCATAACGATTACGGTAATCGCTTCACAAAGACGAACCTTTGGTCGTACTGGACCAACACTCTCTACGTCAATAATCTCGATAGAGGTATCGGCATCATTCTGGTGTACAGGTATAGCTGCATCAGTCTGTTGTACAGGCCTAGCTGCATCATTCTGTTGTACAGGCTTGGCACTCGCATTTTGTCGATGTTTCTATAGGTGAAAATCAAGAATTACCGTACAACTGAATGATGACAAGTAATAAATTAGTCAGAAACTAAAACACGAGCTCACATCGATTACGGTAATCGCTTCACAAAGACGAACCTTTGGTCGTACTGGGTCAACACTCTCAACGTCAATAATCTCGATAGAGGTATCGGCATCATTCTGGTGTACAGCTTAGCTGACATCATCTGTGTACAGCGCTTAGCTGCCACATTCTGGTTTACAGGCTATCACACTCGCATTTTGCCGATGTATCTTATAGCGTAAAATCAAGAAATACCGCACTTACAACTGAATGATAACAAGTAATAATAGTCAAAAACAAAAACACGAGCTCACATCACTGTTTCGAGCTTTATGCCTCGATCTCGGCGGTGGCGGTGACGGACTCTGAAACGATGAATTCTTGGCAAGGGACATATAAATAATGGATAAACTTTGCACATGGTTACAGACAGTGGCAGACTGGGGCAAGGTTCAGACTTCGCGATGATGCGCGCCGACGCGCTTAAAACGCGCGTCGACGTGCTACAGTTGCAACAGCGCTCCGAAGCTACAGACGCGAACGCAGCAGCAGATGGCCACTCTGCGTGACTAGGCAATATCTATCATACTATACATCCATACTCTCTCTTCGAAACACGAGCAAGCGGCGCGTATCGATCGAGCGTTCGCAGACAGCAGTCGATCAACGTCAACCGTCTGGGGGTGCGTTCGTCTACAGGAGCGCTGCTGCAATCGTAACGCGTCGACGCGCTTTGCAGAGCAGTACAGCGCGTCGTCGCGCCGCTCCGCAAAGCGCGTCGTCATGCGTTACAGCGCGTCGACGCGTTACCGCGGAGTCTGAACGCTGTCTGACATAATACGATTGCTCAAATTTTGAGACTTACAATTTCTGGAACACGATGTTTAAGGGCACGACCCTCTTGCCTTTTGGACGGAACACGTTCTGGTAAATGTTCCCAACGGCGACGTGACCGTGTCTTCACCTAAACGAGATACAGTGAATGAGTACTAGTAAAACGGCTCAAATACGAGCCCAATACTTACTTCTCTATTCGATTTCCGAAGTTCGTTTAAAGAAACTTGTGCCACTAATTCCTTCAGTACTTCGCCAACCTCGTGAAGTGTAGTGGTATCGAGTTCAACTAAGTTATCAACCACCTGAAAGAATACATACGGTTAGCAGTAGAATGCAATGAATTTTGTAGATGTACTCTAGTAACATCAAAGTCATTTAACTCACAATAGGTGCCTCCTCCGGCAACTCGACTGATGGATCGTCTATCACTTTCAGTGCCAAATCGAGCACAGGTAGTTCCCGTTGCTTTATTGCTACCTTTTCAGCTAACTCTGCATCTCGGATGGCCTGCTTTTGCTTGGCCAATCGTCCTCGGAATTTCTTCGGTGGACGTCCAGCCTTCTATAATACAATACAACTAGGAGCAATCATGGAACTAAAACACAAACTTTACAAGCAACATCCACTTCATTTACCTTTCGTTCACTCGTTAACGGTTCTTCGCACTCCGAATGTTCGACTGGTGGTAGGGCATCGACTAGTTCTTTAACCTTGTTCGATAGAGCCTCGTCCTCTGCGGTAATATCGATAGTAAGGTTCTCGGAGTCTTCTTCTTGTTGCTTATGCAGTCGGCGCCGAAGGGCCTCCTATAAAAGTCCACGCGTAGCGGTGATTTGTTTCAAAAGATTTGGGCTTTTTCAATATACAGCAGGTGTTGACAACTGTTCCTCATCGAAAACAAAAAGCTCCAGCTCCGCTTTTCTAGAGATGGCACTCACTTCGTAGTGGGCATTTGTGATTATATCTACACGTCATATACTCGAGATGGGGAGGACGTGGCAGCGTACCATTTCTATGAGGTTGCAGGCGGGACACTGCCGTGACAGTTGTGATTATATTTTTATCCGTCGCAAGACAGGATGACAGTTGTCTCAAATGTAAGTGTCCCATAAAAAACGGATCCTAGGCGATGTTCCAATGAAGCATGCAGCCACGCCCTGCCCATATGCGTGATAAGGAATGTACAACGACACAAACGGGCTTTTATTTCTAGTCTGTAAACCGCTCTCATAGCCGGTCCATTCTATGAACGGCTTCAAAGACAGTACACTCAACCCTAGGACAGGCCACCTCTATGATTACTGGCTAGTGCGATACCCCGCTATTCACAAAAGACCTTTTCTCACCTTTACTGTTCAAGTCAGGCCAAAAACCCATACTTGGCACAAACGTGACAACGCTAGCATTTTGGGCTACTGGTCACTGGAAGCCCAAACCTTGGTAGGACAGCGCTCGAAAAGTCTCCCTTGGTTCAGAAAATAGCTCTACAGATTTGAGATTAGGAATAATGTACAGGTCCGATCACAAATAGCCACTTTTGACTGTGGGCCAACAGTTGTAAGTTCTAAAATGAAAAAGATGAGGCAAAAGCCTCAACAATCTCCATAAAATTCACGACCAATGTCTCACCCTTTGTTCCTCTTCATTCTTCGAAATCTGTGGAACTGCACATAACCGAGACAACTGCTTTGGAGCGCGCTAAAAGGAAGGAATGGTAATTAGAAAACCTGAATAAGACAAGTTTATTGAGTGAAGACATACTGATCTGCCTCTTGGAGTAACCACTGGACTAGGATCTGGCTCTTTTACAGGCTTTCGTGGACGACGACTTCGCGATCTGGTCTGAAGAATGAAATGAATGAGAAATTTTGTACTTAATACACTTAACATGTATCAAACGACTAACCTTCTTCTCTGGCGATTGTTCGCTTATCTGAAAAAAATTTTTATTACATGATATTTCAGTGAGGTCTATTTGTTTAATTTACAAATATAAAAACGATAACTAACCATACCACAATAATGTCTGTCATGCGTCCACGAGTACAGAGCCATGCTTTGCTTGGCACTCGTCCTGTTACAAGACTGCTCCTGGCGCCTTCGTGGACAAGCTGAAGAATGCGGATCTAATTTTACCACCTACTCAGGACATTGGAGCAGTTTCAGTGCCCCGGATAGTCAGGATTCAGTGCCCGGGATAGTCGGGATAGTTCATGCCCGGGTCAAAATAGGCGGATATCCCATGCTTTGGTGCTGCCATGCTCACTCTTTGAATCTGTCTTCGCAAGACAGGTTTAAGGAAATAGCATGGCAGCACCAAAGCATGAGTTCTCCGCCCATTCTGACCTACTATCCAGGGCACTGAAGCTGCTCCAACGGTCCGAACCCAGCTCATGATCACGAACTGATGCCCGAAACCACTCACTTCATTGGACCCTTGCCTGACAGGATCTTGCCTTTGCGGAGCCACTGTTGCAGTGTGACTCCATGGAGCGACTGATGCTTGCGAACGCTTCCACACCTGCTCTGATTGTTTTCCAAGACGACTCTCGTCCTTTCTAGTCATAGAATGCGTTGCATAGACAGCACCAGCGGTTGGCGTTCGGGCATGGTCCTGACTTGCACCGGACGTTGCTTCTATTCCACTCTGAGGAAGCCTTATTCTAGTCATAGCTTTTGGTTTCCGATTACTGAGGACAAGGGTTCCATCAGGCAATCTCAGGCAACGTCGCAGAAATCCTTGTTCATCTCTCACTTGAACATATCGGGTTTTTTCAGCATTTTGTTCTTGAGAGGGAATCACAGTTGACTCCAGGGGACCCTTAGCAACGACAGGAGCAGTATTTTGATCTGGTAACCGAGGCTGCGTTTCTTGGGACAAAGTGGTCGACGCTCGATGTCCTACAGTAGCTGGTGCTTGAGCCTGCGTTTGAGAAGCATCAACTACGACTGGGTCATCATCGACTTCAATGATCTCATCGTCATCGTCTACATCAGCATTTCCTTGCTGTGCTACGGCTGCAGCTATTATCGGCCGTCCACTAGATGCACTACGACGGGAGTTGTTTGAAGTTTGAGCCGTACGTCCAGAAGAATGACTTCGAGGATATACATGGTCATTCCGCGTCGTTGATGGAGCCGTCATAGCAGCATTTCCCACGGGAAGCGCAAGATTCCGCGGTACTTGTGTGGTTATGGGACCTCTCAGCACCGGTATTCTAGTACCAGTAGAAGTTGATGGTAACTGCTGGTGCTGAGCAATCACAGCTCCAGATGGCCTATACGTGGAACGAGGAGCTTGATCGATTCGCGATACCCGTGCACCTTGAGGTCGGCTTCCAGTACTATGAATTGGTTGAATTGTAGCGCTAGGGCCTCTCCTGGCAGAATCGACCATTTCTCGAAGCGTATGAACCGGACGTGGAATATATCTGAAAAAAAAAACGTCAAAGACGTTAAAATAGCGATGGAAACGGGCCATATAAAGATAACTAACCGCCTCGCAGTTGGCGTTTCAACAGGAGGGACAGCATTGCTTTGATTGCGCAGATCATCAAGCGAAACAACGTACCGACCAGTGGCAGGATCTACGACTGGCTAAAACAGAACTAGTTGATTCAAGAAAATTGGAAACTTACAATATTCCGCCTTACTTCGATCACTCTATTCGCTATCATACGAATCGCCTTGGTTGCAATCGACCGCTGATGACGAAGGGTCCTGTTGAATATTACCGTGAGAAACGCCTCCTACGATTGTCCTACAGGCTTAAATTACTATATAAAAAATATAACTTACTTGGAAGGTCCAGGTGGCACCCCTGAAGGGCGTTGATCAGACGGTCCTAACGACGTCTGCTCCTTAAAATCATTAATGTTGGACCATGAAATCAAGGAATTGAGCCACAAATCGAGAGCCTTAGCCCTTACCTGGTACTGTGACGAGGGCTGGTCACGACTAACGAATGCTTCATTCACCATTCGCTTAATATCTACTCTTTTATTGTGCTCGACCGCCTCAACCCGAGCAGCTCCAGGTTCCTGAGGAACTGCAACTGGCTAAAAAGAACACCTCAGTCATCAAATCGATTGAAAAAGTATGCTAAATGTATACATTCCGCGATTACAATCCGTGAGCTTCACAGGCATTCTTGCCGAATCGCAGGGGGCGGTCGGTTGTTGCCAGCGTCATTCGCAGAGGGGATCGGGGAGGCACATCCCACTCAGCCCTCCCACCAATGACATTGGCAACAACTGCTCTCACAAAGCGATCGTGCCAACTGCATTGAAGGTCCAAATCTAAGACCGCTCGAACGCCCTACAGGTGTGAGGCAACTTCAACGGGGTGGCATTCTTTCGGCCGACCACGCCTCTGGCGCTCACTGACATCGCAAAACTAGGACAACCTCTAATTAGCCTAGGTGCTGAAGGTACTATAAACAAACCTCATCCAGGGCGGTGTCGTTATTTACTGGTATTAACCTAGCAGAAGATGAACCCGGATGTACAACGGCAGCAACTTGAGCTAACGAAATTTTTGAAGGACCTGGTCTTGTCCGGAGATACGGTGCTTTTACAGCTTGAAAACCTTTGGGTATTCCCTGAAATATTTTGAATAAGCTTACAGTAAACTTCCACGAAATAAGGGAACGTTATTTTGAAGGTTATAGGAAATACATACCGTGGCTTGAACCTTTTGTTGTTCGGCATAATCTGCCGGAGGCTTCGGTGTTGCCTTCTTTCCTCGCTTCACTACAGGCGCTTTCCCGTGCGTACCACCAGATTGAGCGTAGAAACTGTAGAAAATAAAATTGGACGTGGGAAACATCCAGAAGGGGAAATGAGTAGTATGTCCTACCATTTTCGCTCAAATATACGCATCAATCGATTCGACAACTGGCGAAACTCATCACGCATTTGGTCATCCCATCTGAATGCAATGTATTGTAAGCAGTACTACGGGCAACAAAACCCACAAATAACTTACTCTTCGTAGTCCGGGAACAAGGGAAACACTTTCCCAAACTGGATGTCTTGGATGTATCGCGTTTGATCTGGAAACACGTAGCTATAACCACTCTGACTATGGACCCAATTAATTTTGTCGGCAATTTTGTCATCGTTACTCATTTCACAACACACTTTCCCATTCATTTCAAGAACCCCAGACCGGCTCTTTTTGACGCTATCAAACCGGCATACTACGAATATTTTGCGAATCGAATGAATCACTATGCCGCACGGCGCTTTCCATACCAAACATACGTAGAGCCATAGTGCAATCGGACCCAACTCAACGACACGCTGTACGATTACCTGTGAATAGACTCATTCCATGCGCCAGGTTAGTCAGGACCGTTGGTGGTGAAAGTATGCCACCTTGCTACTCGAGAGTGAGCAGAAACGTGGCAGCAGCTGTAGGGTTGTGATAGCTTGATGTTCTTTCTGTCTCCATCCTCGCTACATGACATGTACATCAAATGCACGGGGTGAGGTCATAGTTAGATATGAGCGACGTGTGGCGTGTTGCGTATCTATGGTCTCATGATCGCGTACTGAATAGCAGGCGGAGACAAAAAGAACACGCAGCTATCACCAATCCTCCAGCAGCACTTTCGAGCGACCAAAGTAGTTCTTTTAGACAGCTAAGGACCTGCCTCTGCTCGCAAATGGAAAAGATCCACCACAAAAGTAATCGTGCAGTGCGTATTTGAGAGTCTGGTTTCCCTCATTGGAGGAAAACGCCTCGTTTTGTGAAAATGATCATAAAAGTAACTAGTATGTTGATAAATAACTTGTGTTAAGACTTACCATGACTAGGACGATCCCGTACATCGATAACACATCGGAAGAAACCATGAATATGTGCTCCTCTTGAATGAAATCGATACAAATCGCTGGCAAACGCTTCGACTGGCTTATATCTCGTATCCGCTTCCAAGACGGCCACATTAGCGAACGGGAAGTAGCGATCACAAGCTTTCTTATAGTTGACAAATAAATACTCCTTCTTCTCTGTGGGCGACAAATTTGGGGGAAAGTAAGCTGAAACAAGTAATAAATGCCAATTATCCATTTGAAAGCAGATTAGAACCTCTCCACAATTTGCTCAGAAAATGATACTGTAAAGCAGTTGCCATAAAAAAATAACATCATACATCAAAGGTGGTGTTGAAAAGTAAAGGGACAGAGGCGAGAAAATACAGTCTCATTCGATGCTGATGATGGGGCGTGACACTGCGGCTGCGCTTGGCGCGGCGCTGATTCTTTTTTTCCATCACTTGATGTGGGTGTAGAACAACAATAGGTGGAAAACGACGGATAGAACGATATGATACCATACGATATGATAGTATTGTCCCTTGCCCGCTTCAAAAAACTGAAGGAAAACTGTTTCGGCGCCGTGCCAAACGCAGCCGCACTGACACGCCCCACCACCCACAGCGAACAAGACAGCAATCCCATACGAATGCCTCTATAGTAGTCGTTCCATTCGTCAATCCATGGTAAAAACCGAAACTAGCGGTAGCAGACACCACTCAGAAGCTGACCAAAAAATTGGGACAATTCCATAAACGGGATAAACTACCTTACCTCGGAGGAACCTATTTTCTATTTAGCCCTGATTTATTTACCAAGTAACAAACAGATCAAGCAGATAACTCCTCCCCCTTCCCTTAGCACTTTTATTTGAAATGAAAAACAACTCAAGAAATTTACAAATAAAACATGAAGTATGAACTAACGGCGTTGAATGATCTTCGGTGGTGGTACAGCAGCCGACGGTGCGAATTCCTCATCCTCGTTTGCATTCAGAATTGCTGCTCGTTCTTGCTCTCCTCCAACAAAGTACTCATGATCTTCCAATTGCACGCCATCCCATTCGCTTTCTTCATGCTCCTATAGGGTAGCGTATAATGACAAAATGATCAAAAGTATAGGGCGGGGCTATATCACTGAAGTTGCAATACTTCGATGGCAATGAGACAACTATTTACAGAAACCACTTCTAGCTCCTCTTATTTTTTTTACTGCGAACATGACAACCTTAAATATTGAAGGCTTCCAGAATAATGGAAAAGCGCTTTTTGAAGAGACCTCCGGGTGTGGGTGTCTAGTTAACCAGGTTTTACTTCTGGAAAAGAACCACACATGAAAATGCAACGGATCGAATCTCTGACAGCTGAGGACTCACTCGTGGTATTTCATGGCCAGAGGTGAGCTCACATCCGACTAATCCTGATACCGTATGCTATACATCCCTTTGAAGGGAGACATCCCCCACAGTAAACCTCTGCTCTCCGCCTCATCTTTAAACAGTGTCCCTCGTCTCTCTGGCTCTCGCCGCTCTGCATCCCTAATCTTCCGGCGCTCTTTTGAGCGGATATAGTGCAGCGCAGAGTATGATCGATATCTTCCACTCTACCCCAGCGCATGTCGTTGGCGAGAGATTCCGCGAAAGTGAGAGAGCAGAGATGTGGGGAGGCAGAAAGCAGAAAGACGAGGGGCATTGATAGAGATAACGGCAGAAGGGGGGGGGGATTCGCTAGGGAAACATCACCTGGGGGGGGGGATGTACAGCACACTGCCCCTGGCACTCGGCGCTGCGTCCACACTCTCCTCTCGTACGCTTTGAACGAATATGGTAGAGCGCCTAGTATAATCGATATTATCCCCTCCGTCCGGCGCATTTCGTTAACGGGAGATTCTGCGAAAGTGGGAGAGCAAAAATGTGGAGAGGCGGGAGCAGAGAGACGAGGAGCATTGATAGAGGTAAA